TATGCATGTTTGACATGCAACACACACAAACTGTATAAATGATGTACATTCTACTAACGAAACAAACAGATTAATTGATATATAATTGATGAGTAACGTCTATAAATTTACTCAAGAAAAGTTATCTCAATAAATTTATAATTTTAATGTATAATTATACTTTGCTTGTGTCTGTATCATTTCAACTTCAATTAATGCATGAAGAAGAAAGTTTATAATTATTTTATCATCATATTATTGCATGGTAATCACCAGGTTTAAAGCACCACCTTACGAGGTTGACCCAATCGGATCGACTGTTCCACAAGCAGACTACGTTTGGAGAATAATTCTAGTGGTGGGAGCCATCCCTGCCGGTTTAACCTATTACTGGCGGTGCAAGATGCCGGAAACCGCTCGCTACACGGCCCTCATTGCTCAGAACACTGAACGCGCTGCCGCGGACATGTCCAAGGTTTTACAAGTCGAGATTCAAGCCGAACCCCAAAAACCTAGACAAGAACGAGCTCAATTATATGGCTTGTTCTCAAAGGAATTCCTGAAACGCCATGGATTACACCTTCTTGGAACAGCAAGCACGTGGTTCTTGCTTGACATTGCGTTTTACAGTCAAAATTTGTTTCAGAAGGATATCTTTAGTGCCATAGGTTGGATTCCTCCGTCAAAAACCATGAGCTGTCTTGAAGAAGTCTTCAAAATCGCTAGGGCTCAGACTCTTATTGCTTTGTGCAGTACAGTTCCAGGTTACTGATTTACTGTTGCTTTGATTGATATAATAGGAAGACTCGCTATTCAATTGGTGGGTTTCTCCTTCATGACTGTGTTCATGTTTGCCCTAGCTATTCCTTACAATCACTGGACTCGTAAGGATATCATCAGCATAGAATAGGGTTTGTGGTGATGTACGCGCTTACATTCTTCTTCGCCAACTTTGGGCCTAATGCTACAACGTTTGTCGTGCCAGCGGAGATTTTTCCGGCGAGATTCCGATCTACTTGTCACGGGATATCATCAGCATCGGGAAAGCTCGGGGCTATTGTGGGCGCATTTGGGTTCTTGTATTTGGCACAGAATCAAGACAAGAGCGAGGCAGATGCAGGATATCCTGCAGGTATTGGAGTGAGGAATTCATTGATTGTGTTAGGTGTGATTAATGTTTTAGGGTTCTTCTTTACTTTCTTAGTGCCAGAGCCAAAGCGAAAATCTTTAGAGGAGATATCAGGGGAGCAAAATAATAATGACGAGGAAAGTGGGAGATAGCTTGGAACTTATGTACGTTTCTTAGAGGAAATTTTGGGGAAAAAAATTCCCTGTTTTCTTGTAGCTATAGTAATATATTGAGGAATATAGAAAGTTGCAGATATATAGAGTAGCCATTATTGAAAAGTTTAATTTATTTGCTTGATTATTAGGCTAGGTTTATTTGTTTACTTTCAATAAGGTTATATATTCGGATTGTAATTGCGTTCTGAGATTATTGCACATCTAGAAGGTTAATCTGTTATCACATTCATAAGTTTTGCTCAATGAAGTCTTTTAATTTAGTACTAATTAATTGAATCGAATACGTTCAACTCAATAATATTATAGTCATGCACATGAAGCTCCTCTGTAGTGAGCAGATTCTCTTTCCCTTCTCTTGGGGTTTGAATTGTTTTTATATTTGATTTCAATTATCAAGATTCTGATTTTATTTCATTTTTTGTTTAATCTCATTCATTCATTTTAAATTTTGAACAATGTATTCAATTATTCGAATATGTCAGAAAGATGATAGCGGAGCTGTATATTAGAGAGCTTAGGGTGTTTTTGACGAAGGGCAAAAGTGAAGATGAATTATTGATTCAATCTTGTTTAAATTAGCTTATTCATCCAACAATGTCTAAAGATTATTGATTGGGTTAATACCATTTTTAATATCTCAAATTTAACCTCATTTTGATTTTAATCCCTAAAATTTGAGACCAATGGTTTTGGTTTTTGAAATTTAGCCTCATTTTGTTCTGCCCAGATATTTCTAGTTCTGAAACAAGGTTTTAAGAATTAAAACCAATTGTTTCAAATTTCAGAAATCAAAAGGATGATGTTAAATTTCAAAAATTAAAAATAATATTAACTCTTACTGATTCGAAATCTAACAGATTAGTGGGTATAGGTGTGGAAAGGAAACTTTTTTTGTTTTTTTGGTTAAGTACACTTCTTATTGGAGATACTTATGTTTGTAATACTATCGGCTACTAAATTTGGCAACTCTCTTAGCGGATATCCAAAGCTTTATGGGTATATATGGTGCAGTTTGTTGGAATATTGGGAATCGCAACTCAGTGAAGAAGAGAGGATTTGAAGGATGGTGTTAGAAAATAAATGGAAGGACAAAGACACGTCCGGATTTGAGGTCTGGAGTAATCTAGCCCACTCGCACACAAAGAATCAACTACTAAAGCCTATTCTGTTTAACTATTCGGCTTAAGTATATCTTTTATCCACTTGTGATTAATCTTAATTATTTGGCTTAGATATCTCCGATTTTGCCACGTGTTCATCACTTGATGAGAGCTTGCATTATTCATTTTTCTCATTTGGATAGATATAACTATTCCAAAATTCATAAAATGAAATCTTAAATTGTTATTACCACCTCAATTTTAGGAATTAAGCATTTCCTAAACTCATGAGTTTATCCTTTTTTGCCAAGTGTTTTGTTAGAAAATGAACTGCCAAGTTGTTTTTATGACCCCAAGTTTAGGAATTACGCATTTCCTGAAAACAAAGATAAATCTCTATTCTCAAATGATAAAATGCATTGGAAAGTTATTAATAGTAACAATAGTATAGGAACTATGCATTTCCAACAGCATGCCTATTGTCAGAAGGGACTTTTATGTCATTTCTCTGTAATTTCATAATACACATTTAAGTTGTCCTTTCCTTTGTGTCATGACCAACTTTTAGGTGCTTTTTTTAGAATTTATTATTTTTAAGCTTCTTCTTGTGTCATTTTTCCCAATTTAATTTTAATAACATTTTTCATAGTATATAAAATTCATATTTGTTTTGATACAAAGTTACATTTGTGATGTCAGTACTTTTTAACGCCTTTAGTATGCATTTAGAAGCATTATGATTCAGGCAAAACATAAATTAAACCCATAGGTTAAAATATTTTATTTTGATTCTCATATTACTATTTATTTGGTGATTCCATATTTTGTTGTCTAAATTTAAAAATTCATAACTAATTATGAAAAAATTGTATTGAGGTGATTCAGTTCTCCATTTAAATCTCTTTCAATTTTCTATAAGGAAAAAAATACTCATTGGATTATTTTCTTGCACATCTAATAAAAAAAAAAATGCGTGACGTGGTACTATTCATATGGTTAAATAGTAATTTACAGTTTTTTTTAATCCTAACTTTAAGTAGTTGATGTGATACTGTTCATATGGTTCAATAATACTTTACAATTTTTTTGTCCTAATTTTGAACAATCATAACTCTTAACATACACATTCATTTTAAGTGATCTATTACTTTTTTTAAATCTTAGGATGTGTTTGTATTACTCATAGAATATCATGTGTTAATTTGTTCATTTGCTTTACTTTTATCCTGTCTCAAGTTTACTACTTTATGTTGGAATGTTCATCCTATTACTTTGAATTAACATGTTATAAACATCTCTTTACGTACAAATAACCATTCTAACATTTCATAAATTATTCTTATGCTTTATTATACTCATCTTTACATGCCAATATCATCATTCATTATTACATATCATTATACACACATCAACATATAGAGAGGATTATTACATAACATAACATAATATAATACATAAATGTTTGATTCTCCACTTCAATCTCCTTACTTTATTTTACACATCTTCTTTCCATGCTTACCATACCTATTATGGGTGGATAAGAGAGGGTAAGATTTAGGAGAATCTCAATAGCAAACATATCACTCAAATATATAAGGCATAGCTTGGTATTACATAACATGCTTGCAAATTTACCATTTCCATAATACAATGACACGTTTGAAAATGCATAGGCCTATGTTATATCTCAAGCATAACCACATACAATAATGTATCATTTCATATGGTCACATAAACATAACAAACATGCCAATCCATGCAAGCAAACACCAAGCATATAAAAGCAATGTCAACTTTGCTACCTTAGAGCTTTACATTATTTCTCTTGCTTTCTTTTCTTCCAACCATTGAAGTTGTTTGATCGACCTTCTAATTTATCTTTCTTAATGTCACATGGCCCTAATTACATCAACACATCATGCCATTCACTTATTAGAGCCATGGAAGCAAGTGACATACATGACTTGCTCTCTTACATAACCCTTAACTCTAACTTTTGGACTTAAATCCAATCTTTCTAAAATTAATTTTGTATGCTATTCTCATATAATTTTGTATATAGAATCTATTTCTAAGCTTCAAATTAACAAAATCCAATTCCTTCCTCTTTTTCTAGCTTAGTTGAACACTTAGGGTTTTAAGACAAAAATTTTATTTTCAACTCTAATGCTCCCAAAATCACTTTCTCATCTTTACCTTACATAATTTTTCATTCTAAACACATTAGGAGCATCAAAATTATCAAAATACATCTATGTCTAAAACCCTAATTAATGCCGAAATTCATGAAACATAAAAATTTAGATTCTTTCCATTCATACAAAACCACTTCTTTAACATAATTTTTTACCTCTTAATCTTTAGTCCAACTTCAATTAATTTTTTCCATAACTGAATCAAAATTGGACAGCATCTCTTTCTTAGATTTCATGCTTCCAAAACTCATTAAAATCATAATCAAATTTAGTAACATAAACTACAACACCAACAACAATCAAACTTATAACTTACCTCAAGTTGTGCATGATTCTTGGTAGTTCGTTCACTTCCTTTCCTTCTTCTTCTCCTCCTTTTTCCCTTCTCCATTTCATTTTCTCCCCTCTGTTTACTCTCTTGGCCAAAAACTCACACAAAGTGGAAAGGAAGAGGTATTTGTAATGCTCCCAAAAATTAACTACATTGAAATGTATTTTCAATTCCATCCTTTGTAATTACCATTTTATCCCTTGATATTTGCCTCTTAAAGTTGCATAAAATTACATGGATGAGGTGTCATTTTCTTAATCTTCCATATGTCTTTAACTCTATTGAAATGTGATTTGAAATCCATAACTAAATTGGAAGGTTATTTGAAATCCATAATATTATTTTATTCCATTTTCCATCACCTACCATTCTTGAAATAGAAACTTCCAATATTACCCTTACATATGTGACACCAAAATGGAGGGAAAAAGAGAAGGAAAAAGACCACTACTGAACTATAAGTTATTACATTGAACCATGCTATAAAATTGCATCGTATCGAGTAAATTTTCGGATCCTGCCTTATTTGTCCTAACAATCTCATCTTGTAGTCCACAATCATCTCTCATCATTAATAACCTCTCATGGCTCAATGATAATGAGAATCTGGAAGAAATGACATTTAAAAATTTGTCCTCCTTTTAGGAAATCAAATTACTTTATATCAACGTAATTTTGACCAAATTTTTTTTGATGCTTCCTAGATTCAAAAATTCAACCCTTGGTTCCATTAATTTCCTTTTATTATAGATAAAATATCTAATTTTTCTCAAGCCAAAACTCAGTTTGGAAGTATTTCTTCTAGAATTTCTCATGAATTGCCTCCACTTGGCAAAATTATGCTTTAAATATTTTTAAATCCAATTTCTTCACATTTTGGGGATGAAATCATTTTAATAAAATCCAAATAATTTCTCAAATAATTAATTCCCATTTGTATGCAATTATTTGAGGTCTTCTCGTATTTTAAATAATTGGATTCGACTGAATATCACTTAATTAACCAAATTTCTAAAAATATCATAAATTCCCTTTTTGAGGTATTTTCCTCATTTTAAACCTCAAATGGGACTTAAAACATCATTTCCTATTTTTCAGAGATTTTTTTGGGATTTTTAGGCATATTTTTCATAATTACCTTTTTTTGGTCTGGAACTTTTTAAAATTATAATTTTGCCCTTGCTCAGCTTAACCAAAAAAACCATCTCATTGAGGTCTCTATCATAATCTTTGGCCTATAATCATCCTCATTTCTTATTGTAAGCCCCTGAGGCTTTACTGGTCTAACTTTTACTTTGAATTTAGTCCATGAGAATCCTTTTATCCTTTTAGAAAATTTTTGAGACTCCTACTCAAAGGGTTCTAATAGCTTACTCATTTCAAGTTATTTCTTATACTCCTAGGTTAAAAATTTGGGATGTTACAATATTTATAGCTACATAGCAATTTTATATTGTTTGTTTTAGTTATGTCTGAGCCTTTTCATTTTTGAATGGCATAAAGCAGCCAGACTCATTGGTGTATTTTCACTGACATCTGGTGGTGTATTTTCACTGATATCTGGTGGAATAAGCAGCTGTCACATATCTAGCCGTACGAGATGCTTATATAATGTGTTATGTTACCCAGAACCATCATTGGTTTATTCTTATGTTCCTTATGTACTAGTATTTACTTAGCTCCTTATATATTTACTTGGCAAAATGATTACTTGTAAACATGCAAAATAGGAAAATTATTCTTTTATCTTTGAACTTTTAATCTATTTGTAACTCAATCTTTTAATTATGACTTGGTACTACGCGGTCTCTAAACTTTTGACTTGCTTATTACTTAGATATTTATCTTTTCATTTTTTTTAAAAAAAAAATTGATTCTAGTCACCCATAACTCATGAGTAAGCTCAACTCAAACTCAATCATCAACAACAATAAGCCTTATCCCACTAGGTAGAGTCGGTTACATGAATCGCATAACGTCATTGTGCTCTATCAACAACCAAGTTCTTAGATATATTATTGACCAGGAGGTCTCGTCAAACTCAATCATCATGTGTCAAAAAATATTAACAGCTCAAAGACACATGGAATTTACATCAAATCTTAAAAGTATGTTTTAGAAAAATGAGAAGTGAAGGACAAAGATCATGAGTGACGAGGATATTTTTTTAAAAAAAAATGAAATAAGGGCTGAGTTATAAACTAATCAAAATTTAAGAATGGAATCATAGCACATCCTAGTTAAAGGATTAAGTGACAAGTAGATCAAAAGTTGAATGACCAACCAACAAGGTTTGGTCTAGTAGAAGGGCTAGTATCTTACAATATGGGGAATTCATATTCAAATCCCTACTAGAAAAGATGCACACATTTAGTGATCAATAGTGCATCAAACATGATTGCCTTCAATAAAAGAATATTTGTGCTTAACAGACAAAAAAAAAATTGAATGACTAGAAGATTAAATTTTCATATTAAATAAGCCCAGCGTGATCCCATGGCAGTTTTGATACGTAAGCGGGGACATTGGGGTTACGCTCAACAGTTTTCATCATAGTATACTATCTCTTATATAATGCGTAATTTCATATTTCACAAAAAAAATATATGGTAGAAATTCTAAAAGTTACACCCAGACTTAAGGGGCCAGTTGGGTGGAGATAAGGAGAGAGAGTTTAATTTCTCGTGAAGTAACAATCCTCCTTACTTTGTTTATCAAAATGATTAAGAGTGTGTTTGGATTGTCGATTCGCCAACGTAACGTGCCTAGGAACCTGTGAAACGAAGGTTAAAGGTTTATTTACAGATTAAAGATTGTTTGGATGGGTTTTAAACGCAACCAACTTATGGAGGAAAAGTTCAGTACGGTACAACGCTAGAAATATTAGCTTTTGCCGTTTCTAACGTGGAGAGAGAAAGGATGAAGATAAAAATAACGATAAGGGTATTTAAGTAGGTTCTGCCGTAATGCAATAATATGATATTTTTCTTTGGTAATAATTTAATTATTTTTTATTTAAGCAGGTCCTCACATTTTTTTCTTTTGTCTCATCTATTTCGTTAGTATAATAAGTTTTTATTCAGACCAAATAAATTTTAATTTATATTCATGTTTGTCTATTATGTATATTTAATTAATTATCTACAATATGTTTTTAAATTTTTCTCCGTAACAAATATTTTTATTTTATAATTTCACAAATAAACTATTTATATTTTATCAAATAATTTTATGTATTTTTTAAACTATTATCACATTAAAAACATAAAATTTCAAATATTACTATTTAATAAAATTTATGCCCTTTTCAGTCATTTTACAACTAAACTAACTTTTCTATTAATCATCCAAACAACTTTTAACTTTTTCAACTAACTTTTTAAAAGCACATATCCAAACATACTCTAACTGACTTTTACTCTAACTTTAGTTACAAAAGTCAGTTAGCCTAGAAGTCAGTTTTGCCTAACGTCAATCCAAACATACCCTAACTTCCCAACAAATTAAGCCTCATACTTTTCTTATAATTATGAAAGTAATTTACTGAGCGGAATCAGAATAAATTGGGCCCCTTTGATTCAAAGAATCGATTGGAGTGAAAATGAATGGAAAACAAATTAAAAAGAAAAGAATGAAAAATTTCCGGCCAAGTAAGTGTTTGATTCACATTGAAATTGATCATGAGTTTGTAGAAAATTTATGTTTGGTTGAATGAAAAAAGATTGAGAAATTGAGTTATTTTACCATATTACCCTTAATGAAAGAATATAATATTATCAAATAAAAAATATTTTTTTAATAAAAGACAAAAGGATATAAAATAAAAAAAATGCTTTCCAACCTTACACAATAATAATATTATTAAAAAAATTATAATTTAAATAAATAACATGAACATTTCAGTATAAATATAAAAATCACTATAAATATTAAATGATTAAAAATAAATAAAAAATTAAATAACAAAGTGTAAATAAAATATATTAAAGAAAATAAAATACTTAATTTGAATGTGAAAAAAGTATAAAGATTATATAAAGATCATACGTTCTGATTTATGTATAAAAAATATAAAGATTATATAAAGATCATACATTCTGATTTAGGTTTGTGAGAATTGTAATTTCTTTTCAATTCCTTCTTTATATTTTTATCAATTGAGCATTTTTGTTGTAAACAAAATTTATATACTATATTTTTTAAGTTGATCACATTTTGTCTTTAAATCGCAAGATGTAATATGACAAGGGGACAATATATCATTCTTAATTTAAATACAAATTAGACAAATAACGTATCATTTAAAAGCTTACTGAACTTAGTTTCTAAAGCAACAAGACCTATTCAAAAAAATTTTTTGTTTTTAAAGTTATGTTCGGTGAAATTTAAGCCTCAATATGACAAGGAAATGAGTAAGCAAACTCGAATTTGATGCAACAAGTTCAAATTTTCTTGCATCATTTTCGAATTTGCTCAAGAAAATTATAATTTTCTTGCATCACATTCTAATTTGTTCCAACATATTTAACGGTGCTTGTAATATCCTAAATTTAGGCTTAGAGGTGTAAGAAATAGCTTGAAATAAGTAAACTACCAGACATCAATCGACAAAAGTCTCAGAAGTTTCTTAAAAAGATCAAACGATTCTTAGGGCCCAAATGACAAAGAGAGAGTTTTCTGGGACTAAGAAATAAAGAAGATTGAAACTTCGATGAAGTCTTGGAGGTCAAGTATAGGAAATTGAGATGAAAATGGACCAGAGTTTATGATAGAAACCTTGATGAGATGGCCCCTAGGGCTAAACCCTGGTAGGAATTTAATTGTAATTTTGAAAAGCTTTGGGTCGGAAAGGGTAATGATGGAAAGTCTGCCCGAAAATTTCACAAAAATTTTAGAAAATGAAAAATGAGGTGTTAAGGTCCATTTAAGGTTACAAAAAATAAAAATGCACCTAGAATGAATTTTTAGTAAATTGGCTAATTATGAAAATTTTGACTAATTAAAGTAAAATTAGTGAAAATTAATTATTTAAAATATGAGGAGGTCTCAAATAATCAGATAGAAATGAGGGAAAAGCAATTTGCAGTTTATGATAGATTGTAAAATTATCCTCGACCCTCAAAAGTACATAGATTTGCTTTAAAAAAACTTAAAGCCGACTTTTACATAGAGAGGGTATCTGGCAAAAGTCAAAATAGAATGCTCATAGGTCAAAGCTTTGCTCGAGGAAAATCAGAGAAATTCCCCATGATAAAAAGGAGTTAGTGATACCTAGGGACAGATTCTCGAATTCATGGATCAATAGAAAGAATTCAGTCAAGTTTACTCCAAAAAAAAATATTATTAAATGTTTAATGGAGAGACAAGGAGAAAAATATTTCTCTCTATGTACATACATATATAATGTCATGTGGAGTTATTTGTGATGAAAAAAGAGTGCCTGGACAAGTCTTAGTATTACTAGGTAAGTTAGGACCCAAAAAAGTACTCAATACGGAGTAAAATTGTAAAATAGGTTGAGGAATAGTCAAGGATGAGAGGGAGCATGAATTTCTTCCTATTGTAATGTTAATTTAATGATGGGATATGGAAGAAATTATACAATTTGTCTAAGAGTATAATTGCAAGAAGTTAAATTATAATAAAATATTTTTTATGATTACATGTGTAATAGGTGGGTGAACATGTGGCAAGGTGGATGGACATGTGGCTTGATCATGGAGGGAAAGACAAGATCATAAGACAAGTAGCCATGGGAATTATAACATTTCACCAAGGTCAAAATAGAAAAATCCAAGCCAAAAATTTGTTTATAAATACCCTATTAATTTAAATAATTTCGGTAAAAAAAGAAAAAATAGGGAGGGAAGATTTTGCTCTCGAGTTTAAGGAAAAGGAAGAAATAAAGGAAAAAAAAGACCAAGTTAGCTTCAAGCAATTATCCAAGGGTCATGTGACATTAAGGAGGATGAAGGGAGAAGGTTAACCAAGCAACCTTAATGGTTGGAAGCAAAAAGGAGCAAAAGAGGCAAGAAAAAAGCTTAAAGTTACAAGGTGGTGAACTTACCGTTATTGTGTACTTGATGTTTATGCTTGTGTGTGTTGATATGTATGATGTTGTTTTGATAATGATATGAAGTATGAGTGGTTGAATGATGCATTGTTTCTTGTATGTTCTATGGCCATGTATGTATGAAATATTGAGCATGTAAGCATGTCATGAACCAAGCATCTATCTTGCATGTATAATAAGTAATGTTTGCTATTGAGATTCTCCCAATTCCACTCCATTAACTAGCCATAATAGGTTCTATGAGCAAGGTAGATGAATGCAAAGTGTGGAATTAAAGAATGAAGAAAAGAGATTGAGAAATGTATTATGAAATGTTATAAATCTCATTATGTTGATGTATCATGAATATACCATAAATGCTATGTAATGATGAATGATGATAATGGCATTTATAATTGAATATAATGATGTATGAATATGGTTTAAGAATTTTTGGAATAACTGCATACAAAATAAAGAAGGTTTATAGCATGATAATGCATATAAAGGGATAAACTATCTCATAATGAACAATTAAATTGAGATAGAGGAAAAATGTGGTAAACAAATGATTCTGCCCATGAACTTTAGTGGGAAATTAGTACACATCCTAAGTTTTAAAATAAGTGGTACATTACCTAAAATGGATGAATGTGCTAAAAGATATGATTTTTCAAAATTAGGGCAGAAAAATTGTAAAGTACTGCTAAACTATATGAACAATACCATTTCACAAATTTTTTTGGAATGAATGAGTAAGTAAATGATCCAATGAGTATTTTTTGCCTGTATAGAATTGTAAGAGCTTTAAATATAGACTTAAATCACCTCAATATGATTTTTTTTTATAATTAATTATGAATTCTTAAAATTAGACTCAAAATCTGAAATTTATCAGTGAATAATAACTCGAGAATCAAATTTCAAAATTTTAATCTACAGGCTTATTTCATAATTTACTTGAACCGTAACGCTTTCAAACATGTATTAAAAGAGATAAATGGAAGGATGTTTCATTGGTTAGGCATATTCCAACTTTCGTACAAAATTCCAATTTATCTAAGCCATACTTGGACAATCTGTTATACCCTGTTTTTTTATGCATGAAGCACTTAGGCATAAGGATTTTGCCCCCTTTCTATTTCTTTGGGTCTGATTCTAGCAATTAATAACCAAAGTAAATTAATAATCAATTCTAGCAATTCATATTGTGGAATATAAAAATATAGCACCTCGTTATACACTTGTTGGTTTTATATATTGTTGATTTTATCCACAAGTCCACTTTTCATATACAAATGCAAAAATACAACACCGCGCCATACTCTTGCATACTATACCACATGTGATAGCCTCTTACAATACATGGATACTGGATAGTTGCAACGTTGCTCGTCCAAGTCATTATAGCATCGCCGCAATGATGGCTAAACAGGCAATCATGATTTTAAAACACAAATTTTCAAACTTTTACTCCATCATTTACAAATTTTGTACTAACATTCGTCTTGAATTTTCAAATCAATTCAGATATCAAACTCAAATTAATTCTAACTTCATGAGTTTTTAAATGCCATAATACGAGCACGATGATAATAAGTTCAAGAATGGTTCTCGTTGTCCGAAAACACACACTTTTAGAAGAGTCTTTGTCCTCGGTAAATTTTTTTACACCACTTTATTTCCAGATTTTACGAGCTCCAATCTAGTCAAGGGCAAATGAGTCATTGGCTGTTTCACACAAGTGACTAAAAATTGGTTCATATCACTTTGGTGGGAACCAATTTTCTTCTCTCTAAAAGAAAATCATAATCTCGTTTTAATTTCTTTCTAGCCTCTTCTTTTAACCAAACGACCGCGGCCACAAAAAAATTTTCAATTTCCCATTTCCTTCGCCAGATCTTTCATGAACCAAACAGGCCTCTAGTTTTTTAATATTTATTGCATATTTACAAACTTAACATTAAAACATGCAAAAATGAAACTCAATTAAAAGGATTCTCTGGTGTTTAACGTTAAAAAAAATAAAAAAATCCACTTTGAAAAGATGAGTTAACTTCAAACAAAAAGAAAATTATACTCAGGTCCCATAGAAGACACAATACTACAAAATGATCCCTAAAAATTTGATAATTGCTTTGGAGTCCCCAAAAGGGACTTGACTGCAATAATAAAAAATTTGAAAAGACCTTCTTGCCCCTAGTACAGAAAAAGTGCTGAAAAGAGAGGTATCAATATAAGCTGCGATAGTTGTCAATATTACTGCTTTACTTGTTAGTTTATCTGTTGATATAAATTTGAAAAAAATCTGATTTCAAAATTACATAATGATGAGTAATATTGACATATTTTATAGACTAATATTATTTTATAATAATGTCATATAATATCATCATTAAAAATCAATTATCACTCATGAAATTATGAAATCGCTTGTCATTAATTAACTTTTCACTTCTTAACAGAGTAAACAAAAATTTTTTTTTCCAAATCACATATATCGAGAAGGAAATTTCAAGTTATTGTGCAGCTATTAACAAGTGAAGTTGTAACCATTAATAATGGACAATGCATCCTATAACAACTCATACGGTCACCATTAACAAGTGAAGAGTTAGTCAGTGACAAATGATTTCATAATTTCACGAATGATAATTGATTTTCAATAACAATATTATATCATATTATAATCAAAAAATATTAGTCCATGGATATGTCAATATTACCTATCATTATGTAACTTAAAATCATTTTTTTAAACTTATATCAGCAGATAAATTAAAAAGTAAAGTAGTAATATTGACACTACTGCGGCTGCATTAACAATTTTCCCTTTTCAGTGCTTTTTCTGTACTAGGAAAAACAAGGCCTTTTCAATTTTTTCATTATTGCAGTCAAATTCTTTTGAACTACGAAACAATTACATATTTTATGAATTTTTTTGTAGTATTTTGTCTTATGTGGGATCTCAGCGCAATTTTCCCAAAAACAAAAAAAAAACAAACTATCATTTACGATTTTTCCAGAAAATTAATTTCATGACAAGCTTGCTTTCCGGGAAGTTAACTTTCTAAGAAGTGCAATAAAATGAACCAAGTGGCTACTATCAAAAAGGAGTGGATGATTGAGTCACGGAGACTAACAATCATAGATTGCAAATGCATAGTTAGGAAGAACTCCTATCACCTAATTTTCCTTTTACTTAATACTAATCCCCAGTTAAAGGAAGATTGCAGAAGCATCAATCAAATCCACATGATAAGATGAGAATTGTAAAACATAATGAGTAACCAAAAATGCAGTGGAACGCCCAAATATTCTGAGCTGCCATATAGTGGCGCTTGGACCAGAACTGGTCATAACAGAGTTCGATTAAACAATATAGAAAGGAAGGATCTTTCCCACTCTTCCACAACGGGGAAAACGCAAATGTTTTAACAATAGTGTTTGTCGATGTAACTAATGGTTTATCCAATTTTACTAATCAATAACTCTTCAAACTCTCTACAAAATAATAATACAAGGGAAACATGTTTATATTCTTTACAAATAAATACATATGTATCCAGCGCTCTTCTTGTTACAAAAGTTCATTAAAACCAGTCTTATTTTGCACTTACAAGATTTGGCAATGACAATTGAACCAATAAGCCTTAAAATAAAACAACATACAGGAAAACACTATAATATAACTACTTCTGATATTACAACCCAACTATCAACACGCCTCTTCACAAAGGATCATTTGCCATTTTATACAAGAGAATGAAAATAACTTCAACTATAAAAGGAAATAGAAATCGAAGTGTAACCATATCCGCAGCAAAAAACAGGGTCAATCATATCTGAAAAGTGGATTAGCAGAGAAAAAAATTTGCAGACAAGACAACAGGAAATCTTCATTTTTAATTTACAGTAGTGTTGTTTAGTTGGTGGATCATTATCTAGATCTATGGCAGAGAACAGGGCGTACTGCAGCTTTGAAATCTTCGTAGAATCTCTGCTCAGAAAACCTCCTTGCTCGTGTCCTTGCAGCACCGGCCATCTTAAGCCTCTCCACCCCTGACATCCTTACAATTGCCAAAATAGCATCTGCATATTCGTCAACAGTACAGGCGAGAAAACCCGTTTTCTGTCCATCTTCTTCTAATACAATGTCCATTTTTGGGCCAGCAGAATTATGAGCTAAAACCAGGGGGAAACATTGTAAATTAAATTAATGAGCGCGCCTTCATTGGAGATAAAAATAATAAATAGAGCTTTGTTATCCAAATGGGAATCATGCATCAACCCACCAATTGGGATGGCACCAGCAGCCATATATTCTACAACGCTTATGCCAAAATGCTCATCTGTCATGGAATGGATGCCAGCAACAGCATTTGCTAAACGCCCAACCAAATCCCTGCATGTTTGCATAGTGTATAATTTGAGATTTTATGACTGAAATCAATTATATAATTAAATGACAAAAAATTTTCACATTCAAATAGATTTTATGATAAATGACACTCAAGAAAGCATATAGGGTATCAAGAATTTGAGGGGCAGGACCTAAGCATTTATGATTTCAATCATATGCCAGATTAATATTATTATTGACGTTGAAGCAATATAAAATATAAAATCTATAAAAGAGTTTCAATATTTGTAAGTTTTGAATTCTACAGCGCCTGTCAAGTTTCATTCAACTTTTCTCATTCTTTCAATTTTTCTCCACATACATCACTGAATTCTGCGCAGCTTTTTCCCTCCAAGTTTTTCCATCTTTTTCTACACATTTTGGCAATATTTAAATGTTAGGAAAACAAGTATAATTTCGTTCACCAAAAAAGAAAGAGAAAACCATTTTGAAGATACTTATACTTTTTCTCAATTTTTAATTTGATACCTGTGTATTTTTTCCTCTTAATTAAATCTTTAATTTTGCTCTATTAACATTGTTAATCCTTGCACAAAGACCACCAATGCTAATAGAGCAAAGTTACAAGAGCTAATGTTGCTAAAAAAGCAAAATTAAATGATTTAATTAAGAGAAAAAAATATATAGGTACCAAATTAAGGAAAAAAAACAAAGAAAGTATAGGTACCTAAAATATGGTTTTCCCCAAAAAAAAAAAAAAAATCTTAAAAAAAACTTTATAAAACTTAAAATATTAAGCATGTCTTTCAAAAAAACTAGTATTGTCAATCTGAAAATGCTGAGGTTTACGCTTGCTAAATGAGGGAAAATAAAATTGAAATAGAAGATATTATTCAAAGTCAGCAGTACCTTTAAATTGAAGATGAATCAGTAGGCTATACTAAAGAATCAATGAATTACAGAATAAATTTAATTGAAGTTGTAGTGATTGTCAGGGGCCAAAAAAAAAAAAAAGAAAAAGAAAAAAGCAAAGCAATAAGGCCATTGCAGAGCAGGTGTATGACCTGATGCAATCGCAGAAGCTGCCACAACTAGAACAAGGTATATCAGCACCAGGTGATACAGTTTGCAGTTTAAAGCAATAGGGAAAAAAACACAACCAGAATAACAATAAGTAGGGAGTGATATGAAACTTTATGGCTGTGAAAATAAAGGAAAAAGAATTAACTTCCTCAAAGGATCACTTTGTGAAAGAAGACTTAGAAGCATTTAAATTAGTTTATTAAGGGTTTAGCTATTCCGCTACAATTTCTGAAACCAATAGCTTCTTGTTTAAAGAAAACATGATTGAAAATCTTTCCGCAGAGACAAATTACGACAAAAGGTTGTCCAATTTAAATCAATTTAACCGATTGATGAGGTATCTAACCCCACTTGCCTTATTATGGGTATCAGCGACAACAGACTGAAATTTTAACATTAAATAGCACTGCATATCTTTTCCCAGTAGCAAAGGGATAATGGGAGATTACAGGAACAATGCATTTAGTAATTCTGCTTTGTAATGAACTAGATAGGGGGGAGCAGAGATTAATACTCCCTCCATTCTTTTTTCTACAAGACAATTAACTGAGTCACGTTAATAAAAAAGTTGGTTAAAATTGGTTACGCAGAATAGATATGTAAAAACTAAAACTTTTTCTCAAAAATACCCTTATTTATGAGAGAGAAAATACAAGGGAGAGAATAAGGAAATTATTAAAATAAAGAGGATTGTGGAAGAGAGTGAATGTGTGGTGGAGAGAAAGTATGAGTGGAAGAGGGTATTAGACTTCAGGAGTCGTGTGATAATAAATGTAATAATATTAAAAAGAATGATTAAGTGGAGTAAAATGGGAATTTAACAAAGAAAATTTGAGAGATCCTCTAAATGTCTCTTATAAATAGGAACAAATCATAGGTGGTAATTATTTCTCATAAAAAAGGACGGAATATAATTTAAATTCCAATATAGAAAAGAAAATAGAAAAGTTGTTGGCCCAGGTGTATCCGTGCATCAACCAAGTGAAAGACATACATTCTACAGAAACAGTATTTTTTTCTTTCAAGAGAAATTTTATCATTTTAGAAGAATAATTAAAAAATCTCTGGAAATAAAACTATATGTGCTAACCTGTATGTTAGATTCTTGTAAAATTCCACCTGCTTGTCCACATTTAGCTCAACTGCTTTCTTTTTTAACAATTGAAGTCGTTCCTCATCTGAATTATTTCTACAGCTACCAACAAACTGGAGCTTAGGTTTTGGCATGCTAGAATCTAGTCTTTTAGTGGCAGCTGAAAAAGCTTCAAGCTGGAGACTGTGAGCCTAAGATAAAAAGGAAATATATAAACTTTCTATAATCAATAAAGGTCCAATGAGCCACCAAAATTAGTTGTGCCTCCCACTCACAAGGTTATTATGTATATGCCCACCTTCTCTGGTCGAAATTGTGCAACAGATAATATTACTGGATTTTCAGCTGGTCTCTCCAAAGGAAGAACCTGCCCAAATTGCTTAGAAACAATGAGTAAAACGTCTCACAGTGCCTTAGTGATGAATATTAAGCTGATATTACCATAAGAAAGAGAATTACTACATGCTAAGGTTGAATTCAAGCTGGGAGAAAAATGCAAAGAGATCTTAACAAACCGTAAAAATATTTCTCAAGGAGGCAACAAAGGAGAAAGGAACATTGGGCCAACATATTGCAAATTGCAATTCGAGCTAGTTGTCCAATTTGACACATAGCAAGCATGGAAGGAGGATGAATATAGCTATAGACCAATAGTGTCTGCAGAAGACAAGAAATAGCAAAATCACAAACCTGAAGTCCGGAAGTATCACATGGAGGATATACTCTTTTAATGCGGTCTGAAATTCCCCAAAGCTGTTCAATATGGGATTGGGTCCATGTGGAGTTTACCATTGCTAAATGTGCAAAAGATCCAACAAACCCATACATCCAGCTGAACAGTGTATAATAGAACAATTTGCACCAAGAAAGCCAAATGCTGCAAGAAAAATATTGTCAGGTTCCAAACAGGCGAAAATTTGATAAATGAAATTCTCTAATTTTACCAAAGATTAATTCCAACATATTATATTAGTTCAAAGATTATAACTCAACAACTTCAGAAAGTCCAAAACATTCAGGGAAACCATGAAGTTGCTAAATTCTAGACACTGATAATACCCAAGGATTCAGTTCATATAATCGCATAGCTGTTTGTAATGAAGGGAAAGGCAAAAGCAAAAGAATCAGCACTGGAGGCATACTTCCACATATAAAAGTTTCAGGTTAGATAAACAAATATGATATGATTAGTTATATTAATTCAGAACAGGAGCATTGACTACAGCTGCTTTTGTAGAACTTCCTTCCCAACTCTCATCTGACTCTCCGTCCAGTTTAGCAGTAGTTACGTGTATCATAATTCTAATTTACCAAAAGCAGGACAATTACCATCATTTTCCAGGTTTAGCAAGGACTGAAGCAACTACAAAAGAAGTAATAATTAAATTTTTAAAAGAACAATAAAGGAAAAAAAGGGAAGTCTAAACAAACTCAATGTCAAACCTCTTTGTAATTAAGGCATCATTGTTATACATCAAGTTGCGATAACGAACGCGAGATAGCATGTCTGTGCTGATAGTAGGGTAATGTGTGTAGCAGATAACTTTGCATCCAAACACCCGAGCAAGTGGATATGTAAAAGCATATCCACTTGTGTCAAAATAATATGACGGGGTAAAATTGCATAAAGCTTCCCAAGCAAGATAAACAGAACCCAGACTTTGGCCAATCATAGTAAAGCGTGGGTAAGTGGTTTCTTCAATCCATTTCCTCTTGTGCAGATGCACCACCTGATAAATGAGGATAACAAGACAAAGAGGACTATTTAACCAACTAATTAGGCTCTAGCACCACACAAACCAATTTGTAAATAGCATTATTTACCATTGAAAAATTTAATCACATCATCTCATCAAATAATCATCACATGTATTGTGTCACGGGTAAAATTCATAGAATGATAACTTCCATTGTTTCAAACGAAATTCTTCTTTGACCTAAAAAAGGCCAACGTCTATCAATGTCTTAACTGGAAGTGGTATATGACATAATAGACAAAAGTCACAATCTACCTAAACATGAATTATTTCTGCATATTGCCGCAAAATGAGAAGCGTAAATCTTCTCGCAATTATTCTACCTTGTAAAGAAAGTAAAGCATGATGGAAATTTAAAATGAATAGGTGGATGTTCTCCAAGTGAAGTACAGAATGCAACAATACGATCCAAGGACATGGAAAACTGACCTTCGGAGGAAAGAGAAGCTTGACCCCAAAGCGATCGAGGGCTCGATCAATCAAGCTCTGCGGCGTGGCGTCGTGATCTCCAGTGTAAACGACGCAATTTAGGTCAGGACTTTCTTCTTGCAAAGCTGTCACGGCACACCATAGCACCCTTTCCCCACCGCCGCCGTCATTCGTAAAGGGGTGGAAGAAGCCAACTGCTTTACTTCTTTTCCTCTACCATTGATTACCAGGAAAGTGAATCGCAGAATTAAGGCTAATACAACAGTGAACAGTGGCAAAATGATTGGCCCGATTGCCATTAAAATTCAAGGGTCTTTGTTATCTGAAGGACTCTTCGCCAGGTTGAAACTGCGGAAGGGAAGAACGTTGCAGAGGAGATGAGCCGCGCTAGGCAGCGAGTGAGGAATGAAACGGCAGATTGACTTCTGAGGTCTCCAGTTAAGGCCCCAAAACGCAGTTTAGTAAAAGTAATATCTCTTTTAGATCTAATTGTTAAACTAATTTTAATTCTTAATATAAGATGTATTTTTATATTTATTATTATTTTTAATTACTCTTATGGATACCTCCTCAACTATAATCAAATAAGTGAGGGAGGAAGGATATTAAGAAAGATGATTATCATATTTTAGGAAAAATATCTCATATTTCTTATAATTAACTAACTTACCTAACTTCCTTAATCTAATCAAATTAGTTAAATAGGTCTTATATTAAAGAACTGAGAATACTAAAAAAATCTCAATAAAACCCTAAACATTATGCAATGACGAGTTTTATTTATTTTATAATTATTTTTTTATCTCATTGTAATTAAAAAAAAAAGAAAAAGAAGCAGCAAAATCCGGTTAACCAAAAGTCTTTGGGAAAATTGCACCAAAATCTCACTCAAGAGAATTAAATACAAAAATGTTCCTTAAAATCATCAAATTATTCTGAAATCTCAAGGGACCTTATTGCAAAAGAATTCATTTGTTTAATTTCTAAATTGTCTTTTTTTTAAAGTTTGCATCATAACTTAAAATGTAAGGATTGACAACTCATGCATTACATTTTGTAATGTGCTGAGAAAATGTGTTGTCAATACTTGCCGTGATAGTTGTCAATCCTTACACCTTAAGTTATTAAAAACTGCTCTTTCAGTTGTCAATTCAAACTTAAAAAAAATAAAATAAAATAAGGGCAAGTTAATAATTAAACAAATAAAATTTATTACAATGAAGTCTCTTAGGACTTTAAAATAATTTGATGATTTTAAGGGATTTTTTACATTTAATTCCTTTGGATGGGACTTTATTGTAATTTTTTCAAATTGTTTTTGTTTAGCATTCCTCAGTCGGCATTCTTTTTTATTTTTTTTGGCCGAACCTTTTTTTTAACATCAAAGACATTTTTTGGTCGAACCTTGGTTGCCATTCATTGAACCAAGTTTTGGATTCAAAAAAGTCTTGTTAGATAATACATTAATCCTTAACATAAGAATTATAATTAATTTCTAAATATTAAAAAAATTTAGTTAAATTAGTCATTTGTAATACACAGATATTATCTTTCTTAAAATATTCTTATTAATTATGTGCATTGAAATTATTATTGATGAAAACTCTTTAACATTGTACAGGATTACTTGGGGGCAAAAATGAATAAATATCATAAATAAAGTGAATTAGAATCTTATATTTAAAATCAAATTGAATTTTTAACTAGTTCTTTTATTAAAAACGGGAGGAAGTACAAAAATTGATAAAAAGAATAATGTGGCCCTCTAATTTTATACATCTAAGGTATTAGTGTGGTTGATTAACTTTATAAATTAAGTATTGTTTTTAGTCATCTAACACTAATATCATTCGTGTCAAATGATAATTTTTTAGTAATTATTATATTAAAAATTAAATTCAATATATCAGTATTTGATAATATTTTATCAATATTTATAATTTTAATATCATTATTTTCTTACCAGAATTTAATATCATTAATTTATGTCGACAATATTAAGGTTAAAAAATTGAAAATACATTTATAAATTATAAGCAAGACCGAATCAAGGTTCTTCATTTACAGAAGTTTTCATGTACTATGCTATCAGATGATTAACAAATAGAAGGTCATTGATTGAGTTTTGATGCGCAAAAATATTGATTAAATTCACAATATGCAGATAGTTCAATAACAAAAATTGAGGAGCTAAATGGAATATTAAAAAAAGAATGTATTTTTTAAAATCCTGAGATTATAATCACCAGTGCAATATGTTATAATTATAAGTAACAAAAATTATGTTACAACTAAAATTTTAGAAAAAGTTATAATTTTGTTATCAATAACTCAAATATGTATTTTTACAACACTGAAGTATCTATTTTATTTTATTTTATTATTAAATTTTTATAGTTTTAGCTTGTAATTTATGTATATTTATATTTTTTCATGTAATAAATTAATTCAATTATAAATCATATATTAGAACTTAATTAGTCAATATTTTATGTTTTTATTGTGGTATTCTTCTATTAGAGTATGGGTTTACATATGGATAAAGCTCAAAGATTATTTGTTTTCGAATGGAGTTAAGAGAAAATTACAATAAGGTCACAACTAAAAATTAAACATAAAAAAGTTTCTCGAAATCATCAAATTAATTTGAAGTCTCAAGGGACCTCATTGCAAGAAATTCCACTTGTTTAATTATTAAACTAACCTAGTTGATAATTGAAAGAACGATTGTTAACAAGTTAAGGCATAATGATTAACAAATGTTGTGGCAGATATTAATAACACATTTTATCAATGCGTCACAAAAATATATTGTATGAGTTGTCAATACCTGCCGCGGTAGTTGTCACATCCTAAGAAATTTCATCTGGACATAAGGAATTAAAAATTAGAACGAGGGCCAATGTAAAAACTAGATAGAGAGATGAAACAACTTTGGATGTGAAACCCCAATAAGGTTTGGGCTGGCATTTTCATAATTATCAATCTATGAAGGGTAAAAGAGGAAAATTTGAGAAAATTTCTAAAAATTCCCAAAAAATGGAAAAAATAAAAATTAAAGGTTTTGAAACCTCATTTGAGGCCCAAAAGATAGAATTATTATGAAAATAAATTGATACAGAATTTTTCGTAGATAGAGGTTTTTTGGAAAAATATTAGAAAATAGGAGGAAAATAATTATTTTAATTAGTTAGAGGCTTCAATAAATTTCAAAAAAAAATGGATAAATCATATAAATATTTATTTGAATTTATAAAATTATTTTTAGGCTTTGGAAGCTCAGGAATTTAATTTTAGAGAATTTATTTTCTTGCAGTGACACCGATAGATGCCTAATCAGAGAAAATTCAAAATAAATACCTAGAGGTGGTCAAAAATTCTGAAAATTTTCAGATCATGTTTTTATATTAAAAGGTTAATTATCATAGAGAGAAATAAATTTTTGGAGGTCTAGAAAAATTATGGAATATTACTAATGAATAGTAACCGATAAAGTTCCAAATTGGTTTGGGATTTTGATTTGGGATGTGGGCCATCTTTTGGGGCCCACATTGAGCCCAATAAGGGCCCAATTTCGATGCTTGCTGGCTCCTTCACATAATTAATTAAATAAAATGCAAAATTAAGGGATAATTGTTGGAAAAGTCTAGAATTTCCACCTAGATTAATCTCATTCATTTTGCTCTAAATGGCTGCCGCATACCCCCCCAATGAGGTGTCCCATTTTCGGCCAACAAGAAGGGGGAGGGGCTGATTACCATTTTCTATAAATACCCCCTCCTAAAATACCAAAAAAAAATGTTGGAAAAGTGGGAAAATAAGGGGAGGTTCTGTCACTTTGGTTCCAGCTCTAGTTAACCGAAAATCTTGAGGTATTTAGGCAAGGAATCACTCATTTTTTATCAAGAGAACATCAAGGTATGTTTAAGCATCCCTATTCCTAAGTTTCAAGCTTTGTTAGTAAGAGTTTTTGGCTTGAAAAATTAAGGCAAATGTTGCCAAATTTTTGCTGGACCATGTGATGTTTAGAAAAGGATAGAAACCTTAAATACCAAGTGGAATAAGATTAAGTGGTGAATGGTTTGGCTTTTGGAAGAAAATACACCTAGGGTTCTATATGCTCAATTCGACCAGCTATTGTTCATGGGGCAGGAAATTGTTCTAGCTTGATTTGATGATTGCAATGGGTTTAAAACATATTTTTGTGTAGGGGTATACTATTGGGAAGTGCTTAAAATCATTGGAATCAAAAATGAAATTTTTGGAAGATTATACCCCATATTCAGCCAAGATGAATTCATGGGAAAGAAGTTTGATTTTCAAAAATTTGATTCCATATTTGAATTTCTCATGAAAAATTGTGTAGGAATAAGTCACGAGATTATTGATTCTAAAGGAAGAATTATTTTGTTAAAAATCAAAGAAAAGGAGGAAATTGTTAAGTTAAAGATAAAGTGTTATGTTTAAGTTGTTTGGTTATTAATATAACCTATGTTATGCTTGAATTAATAAGCTTTACGAGGAGGAATCAAGGAGAATCATTGTCCCTTGAGGAGACCAAGTTAATCAAGTGATAAAAAGTAGCTTTGAATTATAATTTGATTATATATCTTGCTTGTTTAATGTGATTTGTTGTTTACTTAGATTGAGGAACTTGTATTGTGACCTTGGTCGGTTGGATACCCCTGGTTTATATTTTGGCCAAATGCATTGAATTGTGTTAATGTGGAAGTGTTGATGTTCCTCTCCTGGCATGAGACTAAGCATGATTTTATGTGACTTGAGGATGTCTTGAAGTTTATAACATATCACATTGTAACTTACTTGACTTGCATGATAATTGTAATTCAAATGCCATTAAGATTTCTTTGAAATCTCACTCCTCCTATATTAAATGATATCTTAAATAGGAAATGGCTCCTCCATGGATCAAGGCAGGGAAATGGTGCTAGGATGAAAGGGCTTTGTGAATGTTATACTATTTTGGAATGTTATGTAATTTGCTAACACACTTTATGTTGAGTTTGTAATGAATTATGAATGGTAATATGTGGTAAACTATATTTGTATGACTTGCTCAAGTGCTGGAATATTGGATGGTACAATGTAAAAGGGTGAGGAAAAGGAAAAAGGGAAATAAAATTTAAGAAAGAGGTAATTAGGGGATAAAATCGCCTAGGTTATGGGCAAATTTGTGACACATAAAATAATAATCAAATGATGGAACCTGGACCTGAGATTTTACAGGCAAATAAATCTCATTTTTATCTTTAAATCAAGTGGTAAACCATCTAATTTGAATTGTATGCTAAG